AGCAGCTTCTTACAAGTGTGTCTCCATTTTGTGTTCTTCCCCAAAAACCTACACACGACGTCACAGGCCGCGATTCTGAGGTTAGTAAAATTGCCCAACAGCTCAGAGCCCTCAAATGTGCTAATGATGATCTCAGCTGGCCCGTCTGGTAGCTGAGCGATTTTACGACGAAATCAAAGAAATTCCTTCTGCGACTTCATTTGTTATGACACTGTAAATGCCGGAGTATGCAGTTACAAACACTCTGAACTCCACAGACCTATGTGCAGACACAAAGATTAAGAGAATTTCTTACTATACGTCATGGCTGCTGGTAGTCATAACGTCATTGATGTGTCTCAAATACATGGACACTTACCAGATGCAGGAGACGAACAGTGGGCAAGAGGCCAGTTGCTGATAACAACACAAGACGCTGTTTCTATCTCTTTGACAAATTCTGCAATCCAGCATGTCTCAGTAAGCGAAGGAATGCATCCAGGTGATGCGTGCTCGTTGTTAACACTCCTATCAGGAGTGAATGATGGTGAAATGGAAGATGAAATTGCACAGGCATTAGACTATCAACCTCTTGCCTTAGCGAGTGTCTCCATTTATGTGCGAGAAGTTCGGCAGAGTAAAGTATCTGTAAACTTTGGCTGGAGCGACTACCTACGGAGAAACTCGTAGACGGTCAACGAGGTACGACAGAGACTCTTCTTACTGAGACAAATCCAAGCTACCAGAAGTCCATGACAACAGCAATAACACTTGCAGTGGAAAAAGCGATGGCGACCGACAGAGTTATTAATCACCTGTTCACTTTTCTTGCTCTTTGTTCACCTCAGCCAATACTTCAAGAAGTCGCTGTCAATTACATTATGGAAATGGATAAAGAATTTAGTGATAAAGAGTGGATCGGATCAAGGATAAATCGGTCTTCATTGTTTTTATCTAAAGAAGAAGGAGACAGCGTCTATATCCGAGTGCATGGAATCGTTCGTTATATACTTGATTCTTTAAAAACAAATTATGTAAAGGATTTATACATCAAAGCCGTCGTTGAGGCTGTTGCATCATTCGCCAAATTCGATGAGCTAGATACCTTTATTAATACCACCTAAGAAAATTAATCCTGAAGGCTAAATGTCTGTTTTCTATGCAAGAATTATCTCAATTCAGCGAAATGGGTGTTATTCCCTTGCGAGATTACCTTAATGACCTTCCGATCCTAGGAAATATGTGCCTCAACAATAGTGAATACGAAGCTGCAATGACTTACTTCGAAGTGGCCTACAAAATTATACATTCAGGTGATGCAAACGACGTTCGAGGAGAAGCAAAACTTTATCTCCATGTGGGAACCGCACACAAATGTAAGGGTAACTTCGAGCAAGCGAAGAACTATCATACGCGTGCACTGGACATTCATCTGAAACAGCTTGGACCTAGTTAAGGTACCAAAACTACAATCCGATTGATTGGATCTCTTCATTTTCGTGAGTTTTATAGAAGTCAAAGTTAATTAAAGCGAACGCCCGTCATGACGATTTTCAGGATCTTTAGTAGGACAATTTATAAACAGGGAGAGATTTTCTGTTATAGAAGAGGATACATAATGTATTTTTAATTTTGCAATTTACTTTTTTTCCTTTCAGTATCCTT